AAAATAATATACAAGAAGAGAAAGGTTTATAATGACTAATAAATCAGCGACTGCTTTGTTATAGGTATAGGGCGGGACAGTCTCAGTAGTGTGTATGCCATTTATAAAAATTGTCAATTAAGAGCAAGGATATTTCTCAGAATAACCCCAGTATAGACTTTCATAAGACATTAGGGTAAAATTTGTATCCGCTTAAATCTATAATTTGTCTTCAAGTCAGTAAAATAATAGTTTGGCGAGTCTTAAAATGCATGAAAGATCTACTAATTCAAACAGAACTTTAGATAAACGAGGCCCGTTTTTGAAAAAAAAAAACAAACAGAAAACGTGTACATGTACAAGATCAATATGGCTTCTATAGCATCTAGTTGAACGGAATTATTTTTCTAGCTGTCATAATAATGCTACATCTGGGCATTGAAGCACTCCAATGTTGGGTTATATCAACGAATTCCGTCTGTCATTTTTTACTTCCATGTTTATATGCACTGTAATGTACATAATAAATCATGATAAAACAAATCCATGGTTCTTCCTTGAACAATGACTCTTCGTATCGTAACAACTCGTACATGCTGATTTATAAGTTCTAGCTACAATTATAATGTGGATATTAAGGACGACAAAAATGATAATAAAACATGTTCTTTAAAGCTTTTTTTTTGCTTGTTCTAGGTGCCTTAGCTATCAATTAGTCCAGTAATACACAGTTGAAATTGACACACGTTTGAATATAAGAACACTTTGGTTAAAAGGAAGGAATTATCTATCGCTACTATAAACCCTCGCGATACACTGTCTCTACTATTGCTATCATAAACCCTCTATGTTACCAAGACACTTACAGCTGTTCAGAGCCATGTTAAGGCTATTCAAAATCACATCAGCTTTTCAGAGCAAGATTGAGGTCATTTAAGTTAACCTGAGCTGTACAGAGCAATTTAGAGGCTATTTAAGCTGATTTTAGCTGTACAGCGCATCATTAAGTTCAGTCAAACTCTACTTATGCGTACATTGTAGTGTGTAATCTTACGACTGTGCAGAGCTATTTTAAGGTCATTCACGCTCACATTAGCTGTAAGGAGTTAACTTGAGGTCAGTCAAGCTCACCTTAGATGTAAGGAGCCACCTTGGGGTCAGTCAGGCTTACCTTTGCTGTAAGGAGCAACCTTGAGGTCTGTCAAGCTCACCTTTGCTGTAAGGAGCAACCTTGAGGTCAGTCAAGCTCACCTTTGCTGTAAGGAGCAACCTTGAGGTCAGTCAAGCTCACCTTAGCTGTACAAATGTACCTACGTTGAAGTGTTGATTTCTTTGAAGATTTGTATTCGGCTCATTACAAGATGATAGAATCAAAGTCCACTAAACAATATAAGACAGTTTAAATTGTCAGAACATCATAGAGTCGGTAAAACCTGTCATATCAAACGTGTCCTTGGTGAGAAAGAGTCACCTTTACAAAACATTAAAGTATTTCACTTCAGTTATTGAGTACAAACACATTTTGTCAAGCGACCTTTTGCATTCTTCATTTTAAATAAACAGATGATTTATTTAAAAGCTGATAAATCTTGCTTGTTGGCATTTGTAGTTAAATTCGAAACTATTATTTATTTAAAAGCTGATAACTCTTGCCTTGATGATATTGGTTCATGTAGTTAAATTCGAAACTATCCCATAACATTTCTTACTATAATATATAGGTGTTTTCGAAAATAATTAAACCCAGTAATACACAAATAATACAAAAATAAATTTAGTTCTTACTACTAAAAATCCTTTTTAAAATTATCTCAAATCATGACTACGTACACTTCTCATATGTAGAATTATAGTCCCTTCGGAACTGCATCAGCTTCCTTTCTGAACGGCAACATCTTCCTTATTTGACAGTCTGATTGTATTGCCTAGTCTGCTGTATCTTAGAAATCTACATATATTATATTTCAACTATATTTATTTAATGCTACTAAAGTGTTTGTTATTCTATTGAAACGTGTTCATCTGGTGTGAGGTTACCTTTTATACATAGTCTGCAGGTTATATGTAATTTAAGGAAATAAAGTGTGGGTTTATTATCATAGTTCATTCTGCAGGTAATAGGTAATTTGAGGATACTAAAGTGTGAGTTTATTATCATAGTACAGTCTGCAATGTTATAGGTAATTTGAGGATACTAAAGTGTGGATTAATTGTCAGTGTACACAGGGTTATTGTTCTGTATTATCAACACATTACTGTGACATTAAATACCTGTGACTGAATACAGCATTACAATACCATTATTGTATTTGGAAATCAGATACTTTATTGAACATCCCTTACGTTATTTCTGTATTAACTGTTTATTTACTTAAAGATTTCCTTTTTGTAAAAGTGTCGCTTGGTATAGGAATTTCATGCTTGTATTTAAAATACATGGGGGAAGGAAGGCGTGGGGAAAAAAGTGAAAATGAAAGAGGACACTGGATGACTAACTTCTATACTATTAGACTATTGAATTTTTTTTGCTTGTCACTTTCAGAAGTTTGCCCCTTCCAATTTTCTGTCTACTCTAACCCTCGAGCTCCTATCCTCACTGAAATATCTTTTACATGTTTCATCGTGCTACGGAATGCTATAAAGCAGAGCTACCTTTCTGTTCAATTTTGAGACGGTAAAATTACACTTTTATTTTTTAGTCATGTTCGTGTTTCATGTCAAGTGGAATTGAAATCGCCCACTACTGTTTTAATATTTAATAATCAAGCAGTATAAGAGCAAAGTTGAAGGAATTTTGAACTGTTTCGGGAGTGTTTGGTTAGTAAATACCTCTTTGTGATTAAAATTTACGTTTTTGAAATTATTCAAATATTTGGACGTTTTTAAATGACTTCTTAAAGATACGATAGTAATCTGTTAATCCTTCTACACCTTAAATACATACCTGTATGTAGTAATAATTATATAAATATTTGAACAGTCAAACAGATACAATTATCACGAGCTTGAAAAAGTTGATAACAGGGTCACGGATTATCGGTCCTGATTGAAGGAGACCATTCACAAAACAACATTTTACGCACTTTTTTTATTGAAGTCTGGTATCTTTTAGGTTATCATAACCTATTAGAGATGTGTTAGTACATGGTTATTATATATATATACACAATGATAGAGTTTACAAACTTTTCCTCCATGTTTATTTACTTTGAATGGCAATGAGGGTATGGCTAATTTTCCCTGTTGCTGTTTAACCCAAAAGGTCAACAATCGGGAAGGTATCCAGTGTAAGAACGTAAACAGTAAAAAGTGTCAAAAAGATATACGTTATACTTTTAAGTTTTTAGTGAATGTTAACCTAAATCAATGAAATAAAAAAGTTATTCAAGGCTTAAAATTGATTTTGTGGACAGTTTTACTTAATGCTGCAAATTTTATACAGAATACAGAATAAAGGGTAAAAAAATTAGGGAATAGAGAGAAAAATAGGCAAAATAATAAATAAATAAAGAATAAGAGAGTGCAGAATACAGAAATGAAGGATCCATCTAAATTCCGTACATGTGTTCTTAAAAAGGCATCGAACGACATACAATTAACACGCTTTTTGAAAAAAAACATGTTTAAATAAGAAAAATCATTATATTTAGTTAGAAAATAAGAATATAAAGGTGTATAAAGGTGTATAAAGGTGTATGAAGGTATATAAAGGTGTATGAAGGTGTAAGAAATCTGTATTAAGATATGTCATACTTTCATTAATCATATTTCATATTAAAAGCTACTTATAACTTTGACTTAATTGTAACAAATTAGTTGTTTATTGCTTGTATTTTACAAATTAAAAATTTCACCTTTAGTCATTGAAACATTTTTGCTTAGTAAAAATGGATTATAATGAAATGAATATGTCAACGTAACCGCAAAATCACACGTGATTTAATTACTGAACAAGATTACAAAAAATATGATGATTTTTTCTAAAGAATTAACATGCCCTATTTCGTGCAAAACATGCACAATGCGGTTGCACTTTGGTGTTAACAAGATAAAAAATGTACAGTAAATTGAATGTCCATGCACGTCAAAAGATACCATTACACATCTATCTTAACAAATTTTCAATGTTTCACAAGACTTTTAGTTTAAAAGGACATGACTGTTTAATTAGAGTTACATGCGACTTTTTTTGCGTAATACAATATTACAGTTTTTTTGCAGAAAACACAAATTTTGATGTACAAAGCACTTAATCTAGGACGACAAAAATAATTTCCTCTTTACCCTCCGGTTGATAAACAACATTTTTTTTTACCTCAGTTTCTAATGATTTAAACAAAAATGTCACATATTACCGTGAGAAAAACCACGAGTAGTCGCACACGATTTAAAATGTTGCAGGATTTTCTCATTTGATTCAAAGTTAAGACAATTGTCATCTCTCCTTTTCACATGAATGAGTGTACCGACCTCGTTTTCATCACAGTTTTGATGGGTTTTGTTTTTCCCCCATCTTTTTCTTAACATTAGAATTAGACATTAAATATTATAGTACCTCACTACTGCGGCTTTGTCCAGACCGGTCTCAATTACATCTAGTACCTTACATTTAGGTATAAGATGTAAATCCCATTATCAACTCAAGGGTGGACTGGTTTTTAGAAGTATGGTCACCTTGACTTATCTCGTCTGGCAGTAAAACTATGCGGATCGTCTGTTTGGTTAAGCAAAGCCCTTTCAAAATGGATCAGCTAAATAGGATGTCTCTAGTAGTGTTTGTCACACCGTTAAAACAACTATTTGAAGGTCCATATGTGACCTATTGCAAGACAAAGTTATTGGCCTATTCAACATATCCGGTTTTTATTGTGACAGTTCAAATTGTCCACTATTATCCAATTCCACTTACAAATTCAGAAACTTCCTGTTGTCTTTATTAAGACTGAATTCTCGTCCTGAAAATGTATGAACGTTATACAAACACATCAATCATAAAATCTTAATATCTCTCTCTCTTACAGGTCAGTCAGATCACGCATTCCAGGGAAGAATAAACATCACTTCAGTAACATGGAACAGCAACCTGTCAATAAGGGACAGCCAGGAGTTCAAGAATCTGTCAACAAAGCTGGTGCAAATAGTGAGTCCAAAGATAAATAAACAAAACATACATGTTACCCAGGGGCGAACCAAGGGTCCAAAGAAAAGGGGACGTAAATACATTATCATGGTAAAGACATGAAAAAGCGTGGCGAATCGAAATATGTTTTGACGATTTTATTATTTTTATCAAAGTGGTCGCGTACACCCTCTACCCCTGAATCCGCCACTGTACTTAAGTACTTTGCTTTCATTGTGATAAATTTATAACAAAACAAGTCCATAGTCAGTACGGTATTACTAGATTATGGTTTTGTATTTAGGTTTAACAAGAGTGAGAACACCAATCAGATAACTGGTCTGAATGTTTTATATAGAACATTTCAAAAAGGAATTATGGTTTAATGGTCAGTTTCTTAGGTATTCATTTAACTAAGAAAGTGAAAAATCGGAAAATGCACGAAACCCCTGGTGGTATTTTAATACTAAAATGTGACAAAGTATACTTGCAAAAAGATTTGCAACTATTTTCCTTATATCAACAAAAATGTTGTTCAGCTTTAGAAATTGTTGTAGGGGAAATTGTTTTGATATTTTTAAAAAATTGAATACAAAACAGAGAACAATTTGAAGAAATAAAATTGAGAATGGAAACGGAGAATGCGTCAAAGAGACAACAACCCGACCAAAGAGCAGTAAACAGCCCAAGGCCACCAATGGGTCTTCAAAATTGCCAGAAAATCCCGCACCAGTAGGAGGGCTTCTGCTGGCCCCTAAACAATAATGTATACTAGTTCAGCGAAAATGGACTTCACACTAAAGCATGTTTTTAACCACACACATATATATATATAATCATTATTTTCAGATCACTTGTGCATTTGATAATAACGCAACAGGCTTACTAGACAAAACTGATATTGAGAACTTTACGGAAGATGGCGGAGTCATAGCAACCTTTCGGTTAGAACTAACTACAGTTAAAAACACCTCTGAAATCTTCGACATAATGAAGAAAGTTACAGGAAACTGTACGGAATTAGGCGACTTAACAACCAGTAGCTTAACTATCCAAGGTATGTAAACGTGATGCAATACCCGTGTGTGTGTGTGTGTGTGTGTGTGTGTACAACACGTGGCAAAATGCCATTGAAAGTTTAATACCTGATCAAAGATTGAAGTAAACATATTTAACTCATGATCTTACGGTTGCATTGAGCAAATTTTAACTGTTGACAATTCACGTGATCTGTTGGAGCATTCGTTAATCAAATACGGATGAAAGAAACGAAAAGAAGTTTAAAAAGTATAACTACACGAGTTTAAATCAGATAATGAACTTTCAATGATATGTTTAAACGACGTGTGGTTTAACACGTGTGCATCTTTGTCTTGAATGTATCCTTCCACCATGCCATTAGGGGAATTTTTCTGTTTTTATTGTGTTATGTTAAAATGTCAAGTTTAATATCATTTAAGGTAGGAAATTATTTTATGAAAAATTTGGTTCGTTATTCAATAAAACTTGGCTTTGTCAATATATAGTTTTTACAGGATATTCCGACTTGCTTTCTTTATTTCTCGCCCTACATTATCTGTTTAAGACAATTGTCTAGTTGACTATTTTTTTCTTTCACACGAGGCCTCGGTGGCCGAGTGGTTTATGTAGTTCATCCACTGTGATCATTAGCCTGTTAACAATGGGGTAGAGAGGTCGATGGTTCTTTCCAGGTGCCTCGGCTTCCTATCGTCCTGATATGCTTGTAATATTTGCCACTGGACGTTAAATACAAAATCATCATTATCCATCAACTGCATTATTATCTACAGATACATAATAAGGTAGATGCTTGCCTTTTGACTTTTACAGAGTTGATATTCTCTACGCCTAGCGGAATCCAAACGTTGAATCGCAATTTCCACGAAAAACAAATGTGTGTTATAGAACAGTTAATTAAATTGCGTAACGGGATAAAATTTATTCACTCAGTTATGTTATATAATTTTCTCAACCCAATATGGTTACAGTTGATACGCATGAATGTTAAAAACAGCCACATTTAATTTCTTAATTTGAATTATAAATTTAACCAAACTGAATATATATTATTTCTAGCTGTCAAAACAATTGAACAACCTCCTGGAACAAGTTCCCCAAGTATAGGCTCTAAAACTACAACCTTAGGACCATCCAGTATGGTTATAGCACCAACAATAACAGCACAACCTGATATAACGTCATCTATAACGTCACCCAAAGATGTGTCTAGCACTATTTCACCTTCATCTCCGCACCAACCTATATCGAGTGATCACGTTTTAGTTTCTACACAACCACTTCTACATGAAAGTTCTGCAGCAGTCCAAACAGCAGCTCTTAGTTCACACCAAATTATTGTTACGACATTAAATGTCATAGAAACAGGTAAAACAAGTTCCGATTGAACAAGCATTTGTTTGATTTATATTCGTTATAACTATTGTGAAAGCTTTTACTTTTTAAATTAGTAATAGTTTTAATGCATATTTTTATCTAACAGTTTCAGGGAAATACCTAATCAAAAACAACATTAATTAGAGATAGGCATTTTAATTTCTAACTCAACTCAACAAAAGGTAACAAAATAAATAAACTGGAAGTTATGTCTTTGAAATGAAAAAGTACTTATGAAAAAGACTTTTTCTTTTCATATATTTTAACGATTTAATTGTTTTTTTATATATCAATATTAACTTTAAAACGTCTGAAAAACTTTTGAAAACTTCTATGAAAGATTTCATAGACAATGCACAAGGTGTCAATTTTAAATTATTGCATCTATTACTATTTATAGTCTATAATAAAGCATCTTTTTTCTTTTACAATAATTCTGTTTGCTATTCTTTTTACTTTTTTCTTGCTTTTTTAAAATAACTAATGACCATTTAATCACATGCAGCAAGTTTAGGCAGCAGTAATTCACCGGAAGTCAAAAGGGGCACACGAATGGACTATTCCACAATTGATATGTCACCAATAGCAGTGGTATCATCTGGTCACCTGGTTGCCGGCCTGTATGATAATATAACATCGACAGAAGCTGGTTACTGGTCACAACAACATTCCGAAGAAATTAATCCAACTACCAATCACATATTTTACACATCGTTTGCGTTAAACTCAGATTCACAGTTTCTGTCAGTTAAACCGGAATCATTTTTAAAAACTTTGGACATGTCAGAAGCGTCTGATGCTGGAAAAGGAACATTGATGTCGATCTCATCCAACTTTGTTGGTATTAACACGAATCCTACACGTGCAATATCATTGGAAGTTACTAAAACTTTTGACAGTGCTCTTCTTCTAAACACTGAAACTTTGAACTCTCTCGACATAACTTCATCAACAGCTTCTAATAACTATCAACTTTCTTCTATTTCAATTCCACCAGCACTTTCGGTTTCTAAATCTGTAGAAATGTCTAATATTCAGGGTGAATCGTCAGTGACAAAGAGTGCCGAATCAGTAACATTCCCACAGCAAATTCTAACGAATAATTCATTGTTCATTGGGCAACCGAACTTCGACAACCAATCTAAAATATCACAGTTATCACGCATAAACGTTCAAACATCGACGTTCAATTCAGTTATTCCTCAGTCATCCGAAATTATTATGGAATCGTCTGTTTTATCACATGATTTTCCTGAAGCAGAAAAGGCTCAGTTATTACAAGATATGAATGTTGAAAATTCTACACAAAATGTGAACTCCGAGACGTTACATAGAAGTTCAAGTGTGATGTATGCTTCTAGTTCACGGTTAGTTTCTGAGTTAAGCGAATCTGAATTAATATACACTAAAAGCTTATCATTTGGAATGCAAGACTCATCCAAGGCTTTACAACCATCTTTAGAACGGCCATCGACGGAAACAAAATCAACATTGGTACTCCCGTCGATATCTTCTGCTTTGGATTTACTAGAAACGTCCTTTAGAACAGAATTATCACAAAGATTGGTAGCCACTCATACCGATAAAGCTACAGCAACAAGTTCTCTTGGCGGGGTCTTGTCATCCTACACGTCAGACGACTTTGGCACCGCAGCAAATTTGGCTGGTACATCTGATCAAATAAATGCTGGCAAAACAACGACGACCCCGTTAGATGAAGGTATAACTAGAAATCCACAAAGTTTAAGTTCATTTGCAGGGGAATCATTTTCATCTGGTTCTAAATATGGACAATCTGACGCGGTGCCTACAATAAGCCCGTTAATAAGCCCAATCATGTCAACTAAAACACTGTCTGTTTCTGAATCAGGCTTAGCTGAATCCAGTATACCATCGATTAAGACTTACATTAAAGAAACAACCAGTTCTAACTTGTTGTCTGAAAGCCAAATTGTATCTACAGTACCATTAAAACGGGAAGCATCATATAGTTCATTATCGGGAACAAGTAATTCGCAAATGGAACTTTCTAAGGAAGTAACTCGGCCTTCCGTTACATTAGTTAAAAAATCAAACGCGTATGCCACGAATACAGATGATGATATTATTATATCAGACACTTTATTGCCACAATCTTTACCAACAGCAGAATCGGAGATCTATTCAACAACTCTGTCGTTGTCTATTAGACCTTCATTGCTGAGGACTGTGGCAACGTCAGTTGAAAAGATACAATTAACTGACAATACAGAGTTCGTAAAACCATCAGTAACTGAGTCAGGACAATTTTCAACCAGTTTGTATGAAAACATGATAGCACCCTCTGATACGAACTTAAAGGAAAGAAAGGCCAGTTCTATTTATGTGGCGATTACCGATTCAGTGCAACCATCATTGCAGTTAAGCGACAGTTTACTGGCTGCATCAGCTACACCAGGTATGTCAATGACTATTAATCCTGGAGTAATTAGAACTCCAGAAGGAGTAAGGAATGCTGAAATGTACTCTTCATATCTGCATGATGAATCACTGAAGTCAGTTAATAAAGTTACTGAAATGCATGAATTGTCTAGTCTTGAAGTAAATTTTATAACCAATGCAAGTAATAAACATACAGCAACATCATTATCTAGACAGCATGAGTCGTCTACATCCTCCCCTGAACTTCCCTTAGTTCATTCACTTTCATCGACGTTGAGTTCCACAGGCGGAAAACAAATCCACCCTGAATCACTCCTTCCTGTTGATGAAACATTGGTACATACTCCATTGGAATTTCCTTTAAGTTCCAAATTTTTAACTCAAAATGATATTGCAGATTTAGTACAGGCAACCAAATCGATTACATTGGACAACAGTCATTCGTCTATGGGTGCTGCAACATTTGCATTTACGTCAAGTTTTTATTTGTCAAGTGAACATTTATCAGTTGTGAACACAGATTCCCCTACTAATCAAGGTAGTGGAACTTTGAATATTAATTTACTTCGAACAGTTTCTAGTCATTCGCTATCCCCACGCATTTCATCATCAATAAAGGCTACACCTTTGACTCCGTCATTATCAACAGACATTCTAACGCTATCGGATAAATCTATTTTGTTGTCTTCAACAGAGAAATCTCCATCACAGACAGCACAATCTCAATCAGAAGAAACAGAAAGGCCTGTTCCATTGGACATCTTGAATTCTATACTTTCGAAACAGACACATCCAACACCGGACACAATTTCGATCACATCGGTGATACAGCCACCAAGCACATTTGATATGGACACAGAATCTATAATATTTGAACCAGTTGACGATTTTAGTAGTATAAGTCCATCTGCGTCATTGGCGACATCAACACAAACAAAAAGTTCACCAGTTTCACACGGGCAGACAAAGTCAGATATTTCTTTTTCTATCGTATTGGAGGACTTGTCATCCGTAGGTCAAACAAAACAAACAATATCATCCACAACTTCGCAGTTGAGGCTCGAGTCGACACCTTCTTCAACTGTATTGGAGTATCTAAGAACGACTAGGACAGAACAATCCATTCAAAATTTGGAACAAGCATACCAACTTTCCGAACGATCATATCAGCATTCCGAACAATCATTCCAAAGGTCGACTAAACTCACAATTTATTCTTCATCTGTGGAAACTCAAACATCAGATACTATATATCCAGCTAAAATGACGTCATCAGTATCATTATCAATACCAACAGAGTCAATGGATGATTCGTTTGTCGATTATGAGTATATTACTTCGTCATATGCAGAGACAGTTTCTCTTCCGGAATCTTCATTCTTTACTAGTTTGTCAGCTAGCTCTGTGTTGCTATTAGATCCCGACGTCACTTCCAGTTCAGAATTTCAGCCACTTCCTATGCCTTTACTCACAACGCCACCTATTCTTTCAACCTCTACGCTAGATGTTGTATCTTCTCAGATCCTTTCTTTACCTCTAGCACTATCTGACTGTAAGTTTTTAGTGTTCTTCTTTTAACTCATAAAGAGCCTTGTGGAAAACAAAAAAAAGTTCCAAATTCATAGATATCTAGACTATTAAAAAGAGACAAGTTTAACTGAAGCATTATGAATAAATTACTTGTACAGTCTGTTCAAAACATAGGGTTTAAATGTACAACGAAGTTATTTGAAAATTTTAATTTAATAATTGTTTAGTGCAACGATATTTATTAAAAATTGAAGAAAAAAAGTCACGTGATAAAGAAGATAATTAACGATGTCGGTGCACATTTAGTTTCCATGGCAGTTTAAACTAATAAAATATTGATGAACATCCTGGTAGAAGGTGACTGGTTAGGCACTTAAATTTCCACAAGGCTCCAATTCAACTCAATCTGTTGTCTTTTTAAGGTAATACCTAATTATAAATGATATAATCTCACCTGCACGTCATTTAGATTCAGCTATGATCAAATATATCTCTTATCATTAGAAATGTCATATATACATTTTCTTGATCATAACATTGCAAAGATAAAAAAAGATAATTAGTAGTTGTTTGTTTGTAGAACGAAACCATAGACAGTATACACTATTTCTGAATAAATGTACTAAGTAAAAACAAACCTTTGAAATAAAGATGCAAGCAGGTGCACTGATATGTAATCATGTTAATGACTTTTCTATGGTATTTTTAAACACAAAGTATTGAATAACTGACATTAGATAACACTTACAAATGCCATTGCAATGACCTGACATTTCAGTATTAAAAGCAGTTAGATCTGCAAAAAGTCAGACAACAGGTTGAGTTGTAAAACTATTTTATTTGCCATTTTAATTATTTTGCTTTTTTGCTTTTTACAATTGCTTGCCTTTGTCATGTTTGTAGTCTAAACAAATGAACAACATTTATATTGCATATATCATGCTGAATTGCTGCACGGAATACAATCGTTTGGAAATTCTAATTTTCTAAGAAGCGGCGATTTAAATAGTTGTAAAACACAATTAATACTACAGATTTAAAATGCATCTTTTCTCCTTCTCGTCATTTCTAAACTGGCCAGCATGATATAGCCAAAAGTGATGAAAAATTAAACACCAACAATCAATGAAGTATTCAATAATTCATTTAAATCTTAATTGAACATTTTTCCCATGTAAAACATTAAGAATATATGAGGGTCTGGATGGTGTTTACAGAAAAGAGAATTATGGATTAATACTACAGAATAATGGGCCAAAAAATGATGAAAAAATCAAAAATAGGCCAAAAATTAAGAAAAGAGAAAAATTGGGTGTTAAATTATAAAGAAAAGGAAATAATGAGCTAAAACCATAAAGAATAGAGAAAATGGCTGAAAGATTCCATATTTAATTGAGGGTCCCTCCATCCAGACCCTCCTACATTTGTTTGGCCAATCACATGCTGCCTCTCAATGTTTTAAAAGAGAAAACTACCAAAGTGATATTCAAACTCATAATGCAAAAATAAACTGACAAATGCCATGGCTAAAGACGAAAAACAATAAAAAGACAAACAACAGTACATAAAACACAACTTAGAAAAATTAAAGACTGAGCAACACGAACACAGAAACAAGGCGCAGAAATGATGCAGAATCTTTCAATGAAAAAAAGTACAGAAAGATTTAAGTAACGAGCCGGATTCAGAAGAATTAATCTAAAATCAAGTTATGTTTAGGTGTTAGGTCGGGTGAAAACGCCAGGGTTAATAAGTTTCAGAAATTTCGAAGTTGATTCTATGTTCTGCTATGTTAAAATATATTCAGCGAATTTTGCAGTAACACAATAAATACTCATTGTAATACATATTGATTAATCTTGTTTCTTATTTCAGCATCTTCGTCCCTCTCTGTTCCTGAACCATCCACTTCGGCTCCAGTTCAGCCAATGTCATCTGCAGCTCCAGTCCAACCGACGTCATCTGAGGCTCCTGTTAAGCCGATGTCATCTGCACCTACAGTACAACCGACGTCATCTGAGGCTCCAGTTCAGCCAATGTCATCGTCAGCTCCACTACAGCCGACGTCATCGTCAGCTCTGGTTCTGCCAATGTCATCTGCACCTACAGTACAGCCGATGTCATCGTCAGCTCCGGTTCAGTCGACGTCATCGTCAGCTCCGGTTCAGCCAATGTCATCTGCAGCTCCAGTACAGCCGACGTCATCGTCAGCTTCGATACAGCCAATGTCATCGTCAGCTCCAGTTCAGCCAATGTCATCGTCTGCTCCGGTTCAGCCAATGTCATCTGCAGCTCCAGTACAGCCGACGTCATCTGAGGCTCTAGTACAACCGACGTCATCTGCAGCTCCGGTTCAGCCAATGTCATCGTCAGCTCCGGTTCAGCCAATGTCATCGTCAGCTCCGGTTACGCCAATGTCATCTGCAGCTCCAATACAGCCGATGTCATCTGAGGCTGAGGTTCAGTCAATGTCATCTGCAGCTCCAGTCCAACCGACATCATCTGCAGTTGCAGTTCAGTCGACTACATCTGCAGATCTAGTCCAGCTGACATCATCTGCAGCTCCAGTTGAACAAACATCTTCTGCAGCTCAAGTTCAGCCGACATCATCTGTAGGTCCAGTTCAGATAACGTCATCTGTAGTCCCAAGTGAACCATCGTCATCTGTAGTTCCGGTTCAACAGACATCATCTGCGCATCTGGTTCAACCAACGTCATCTGCATCTGTAGTTCATCCAACGTCATCTGAATCTCCTGATCAGCAAACGTCCTCTGTAACTCAAATTCAGCCGACGTCATCTGCAGCTCAAGTTCAGCCAACTTCATCTATAGCTCCTGTTCAGCCAATGTCATCGGAAGCACCTGGTCAGTCGACCTCATCGGCAGCTTTAGTGCAACCAACTTCATCTGTAGCTACAGTTCAACCAACATCATCTGAAGATCCTATTCATCCAACGTCATCTGATATTCATGTGCAACCAATGTCATCTGCAGCTCCAGTGCAGCCAACGTCATCGACAGTTCCAGTTCAAGCAACGTCATCGGTAGACCTTGTTCAGCCAACGTCATCGGCAGCTTCAGTTCGTCCAACATCATCTAAAGCCCCCGTTCAGCAAACGTCATCTGGAGCCGTTGTTCAGCGAACTTCATCTGTAGACCTTGTTAAGCCAACGTCATCGGCAATTCCAGTTCAGCCATCGTCATCTGCAGCTCCAGTTCAGTTTACTTCATCTGCAGCTCCTATTCAGCCATCTGCTTCTGAAACCCCTGTGCAGGAAACATCAAGTGCTGCCCCCGTTCATCTTACATCTACTGAACCTTCTATTCAGTCATCCACTGAAGTTCATGTACAGCCGTCGCCTTCTGACGCACATGTCCAAACAACGACTTCCAAAGCACATGTGCAGCCATCATCTACGGAAGCTCATGTACAGCCATCGTTTACTGGATCACATGTACTGTCGACAACTGAAGTCCATGTACAACAATCGTCTTCCCAAGCTCCAGTTCAGCCAAAGTCTACCGACGTTTCTGTACAACAAACGTCAACTGAGCCTCCTGTACAGCCTTCATCCACTGAGACTCCAATTCACCTTTCAACAAATGAGGCTCATGTTCAACCAAGCACTACTGAAGCTCCTGTACAGTTATCATCTTCTGAAGCCCCAGTACAACACACTTCAAGTACGGTTACATCTACGGAAGGCCTTGTGCAGCCAACTACTTCCGGTGTAGTTCAAGAAACATCAATAGGCTTTGAATCGCAAACTTCAGTGGTTCTTCTATTGTCAACTGGGGAACCAGTTCAACCATCGTCTGTATCACCAGTTTCATCAACTGCAAGTCTAGTTCATCCATCATCAACTCAATCCTTGACATCAGAGGCTCAGGTTCAACCAACATCTGCTTCATCAGTGCCTTCAACTGATTCTCAAATGCAGCCTTCGTCTTCAGGTCTTTTAATGTCATCTATGGCTCCAACTCCGTCATCATCATCTGCAGGACCTGCGATGACGACCGAATTCCCAGTGCAACCGTCATCTGCAGCACCTGTAATATCAACCGAAGCACCAACTCAGTCATCATCATCCGTTTATACTATGTCGACCCCAGCCCTAGTTCAGTCATCATCAACGGCTCCTGTCGCATCAACTGAGAAAGCAGCTGAGTCTTCGTCGTCACTGCATTTGATGTCTACTCAAACTCCTATTCAACCGTCATCTACACCAGCCGTCAAATCATCAGAGGCATCAGTTCAGCAATCATCATCAGTACCTGATATGTCGACTGATATCCATATTCAGTCGTCATCAGCGGCACTCGTCACATCAACTGAGGTACCAGTTCAACAATCGTCGTCTTTACCTGTGACATCATCTCAAATTATAGTTCAGCCGTCATCTGCAACGTTTGTCACATCAACAGAGGCACCCGTTCAGTCATCATCAACTCCTGCTACGTCAACTCAAGCTCATGTTCAGTCATCGTCTGTAGCACCCGTCACATCAACTGGAGAAATGGTTCAGCCGTCATCGACCGCAGATGTGACGTCATCACAAGTCTCAGTTGAACACTCGTCTGCATCACCTGTCATATCAACTCAGGCCCCAATGCAGTCGTCATCGTCCACCCCCGTAACGTCAACTGAAATTTTAGTTCAACCGTCAACTTCATTACCTGTCGCATCAACTCAGGCCCCAGTTCAGACGTCATCCTCAGTATCCGAAGTTTCAACACAGGTTGAAGTTCAGCCATCGTCATCGGCCTTTGTGTCATCAACTCAGGCCACAACTCAATCATCATCGTCAACTGCGATGACATCATCTGAAGCTCCGATTCAACCAACATCTTCAGCACCTGTCACAACGTCTGAAGCAGTTAAATCATCATCTGAAAAAGTTGTAGCATCCACGGAGAGCCAAATTCAGTCATCATCATCAGATGATGTTACGTCAACAGAGACCCCAATGCAAACATCCACTCCTATTCTTGTGACATCAACAACAGCTCCATCAACGTCATCTGTTGTACAAATTATAAGTAGTTCTACAGATGTACCAGCTGTTTCCTCATCAGAGGCAGTAACATCTAGTATAGCTCCAACTACAACTATTACAATGACGCCTTCAGAAGTTCCTACGACAACAAAGAAGCCTTCAACAGAAGCGCCTGTTACAGAAGCGTCAACAACGCAATCAAGTACAACAGAAACAACATCTACCACGACTACAACATCTGTAGCATCAACAACAACACCGGAAGTATCAACAACAAGCGATGCATCAACAACAACTCAAGCATCAAAAACAACAACACAAGCATCGACAACGCCGGCAGTTCAAACAACACCACCACTACCGGTAATTACATACCAGATTGATGGTTCGTTGAGAATAACAGGCGGAGAAAGCTGGAGTGACGCACTTGCAGACAAAAACTCACCAGAATATAATACCTTGGATCAAACATTGAGGAAGATGGTAAGTAAAGTATATGCTTATTATTGGTCTTGGTAAAGTAATCTATTACAGAAATTAGGTCAGATCGAAGTTATTAAAGTTTCATAAACTTCAAAATTAAAGCGATATGTAATCAAATATTTTCATGAAGAACATATAAGAAATTAAGAGGTGTCATAAATTCGTGTACTGATGAAAGTTTACTCATTTTCTTTTTCTTTTTTAAATATATCAACTTCATGATACTTTTATAAAGAGTGTTATTGTATCTTTGAATATTTGTCTTTAATCATACAGATTCATTTGTAATAATTGAAGAATGCTTGCAAAATCTAAGTACATTTGTCTAGACTTGTTTGCCTAATTATGTATACAAACATATATGTTAACTTAGATAAATTAAATATGTTCCTTTTTTATAGTTGAAGGAGGTTTATGGTTCTGGTGAATTTGGAAATAGATTCTACAGTGTCGGACATATAACGTTCAGGTAACTTTATTTAAACCATATTTCTAAAACTGAATGTATTTTCCATTTACTGTCACCAATTTAGTTATGTGTTTTAACTTTAGTGCAAGTAATTTCTGTAAAAAATATGTCTGTGGGTTTACATTTCATATTTAAAGAGAATTTTGATGAATGTCCTTTTGTAAAGTATCATGTATACTCCTCAACTTCAACCAAAAACAGTAGTATTTGCATTTGAAATCAAACGAAACAAAGTTCACAATAACTGAGGTTAGAAAAAAACAAAAAGAAACTCTTAACTTGATTCAGTTTTCCGATCGATATTTAAAAAAAAATTATGATGAAATAAATGTATTCGACATTAATACTCATTCTTTGTAACAACTTAAACTTTTTCGGCACACATAGTCACCGATCTTTCTGAAAATTGGCTGATATGTAGATCCTATTAGACTAGTCAGAAAAATAATGTCAACCGATATATATATTGGTTGGTTACCATGGTAACAGCAGAGAAAGTTGAGATTTTTGAGAAAAATACAATATTTGGTGTAGTGTTGTGAAATTATGCGGCTACATCTATTAAAAAGAAACACAAAAACAATTAATTTCATTCTTGTTTTAGTCAAAATTCAAAAAAAGTTATGGGGAATCTACCTAGAAACATGCGAAATTAATTTCTAAAAAATGATTATTGTGCAATTTTCCTCACAATACGAATTATCTCCCTTTGATGGGTTACACTAATGACTGGGCCAAAACGAAAACGCTAATAACTTTTTTATTTCTCAAAGGATTTATGTCAAATTTGAATTGTTATAAATTTAGACCATTCAATACATAAATATAAGAAAAAAAAAATATAGAAAACTTTTTTAAATCTTCATTAAACGTGACCTGACCAATGCTGACAATGCCAGGACCAACTGAAAATGCTAATAACTTTTTTATTTCTTAAAGGGTTTATGTTAAATTTGAAATATAATAAAGTTTAATCATTTAATATATAAATAAATTAAAAAAAATATAGAAAAAAATATAAAATATTCAGATAACGTGACCTTTCTAACGTTGACAATAACCTGACCAACAATAGCAATGACCTGACCGAAGAAAATTTCTGTGTTTTTTTATATTATTAAAAAAAAACAGGAAAAATATATGTTATTGGTAAAAATTACTTGACCTGACCAACGTTGACTGTGTCCTGGTCGTTGTACTACCTAATACTTATTTATATCTTATTGGATTTTCTTTAAATTTATAAAAAAAAAATAGAATTAAGATTGAATGGTAAAAAACTGGGGAAAACAGTTTAGGGTACTATGACGAGCACCGAATTATTTAAACTTTTTATGGTATTGAGTAGTATATTGTATTTAACTGTGTTGTAAATTATGTTGTATATTACTGGTTATAATTTGACACGTTTGATCACAAATATAAACTAACTCAAAAGGTGTGTTTGAAGTAGGCCATACATACATGTAAGTTAATAAATCCAATATAGTTTGTTTTTTAATATTTAATATTTTCTAACAGTAAATAGTTATTTCCACGTACTACTTAAGGCATGCGCGAGCCTTGTGCAGGATATCTTGGCAGTTTTTAATATTTTCACAAAAAACAAATACACATTTCGCAGACTACTTGAGGTATGCCCGAGCCCCTGCATGCACGATATCTTTGTAGTTTAAAATATTTTCATAAAATATAAGTAAACATAATCGCGGACTTAACTTGAGGGTTACCAGAGCCTTGTCTTAGTTTTAAATGTTCCCGAAAGTTTGTAAAGCATTTTTTATTTTCTTATTTGATAAAATTAATGGTTCAATCTAAGTGTTTCTATAAATTTGATGCAAAGCCTATTACATTTAAATAGGTATAAAGTCATTTTTCCTGGTCATGATAGCGGTCAGAATGTAGGGCAGAAATTCACAGACAAAAAGTCACAGACAAAAAGTCGCGGACAAAAAGTCACATGTATAATATGTTATAAACATAGACTTCTGCTTCAAAGTAAAATCTAAATTTTTTTTGTTTAAAGAAAGACAATTATATACTAATTTTGAGAAACATCTTTCTGTTATGGGCTTTCAGTGGAAATCAAAGTTTATGTACATGCATATAATTTTTTTAAAGTTACTTGTGTAAAGAGTTATCATATTGTCAATATTTTTTTAATTTGCTGCTAAAAATCCATTAAGATTACTGTTATTTTCTCAAATTTCAATAATCCAATGCCTTTTACTAATGTAAATATAGTGCTACCAAAGGCGGATCCAGGGGGCCATGAGGGCCAGCCCCCTCCTTCCATTAGAAACATTTGGTTGATTACATATGGAATCACTGAAGCATGAATGTAGCGGCCTCTCTTAAGGCAGTCAGTGGTACCCCTGATATGCCAATTGTCTAGATGGTATATTTTCCCCCTGCTGCTTGTTGTAAGACCAGCAGTCACCCGCTGACCGATTTTCCGTGGGTCCTCTTAGGGAAACGGAACTTTTTGGAAAATCTCGAAAATTCCTCCCCGGCCAGAATGTCAAACAAGAAATGTGTCGGATGAATAGCAGGGACCATCGGGTCGACGGCCGACCGTACCCGCCCTTGCTTGTTACGCCCTTTTTTAGGGGCTTCCTAGTTGATCTATTGAAATTTCTGTCCTTGTCCAATTGATCCCGATTTCTAGTGATATTTCAAATTGTCTGCCTTCATCCCAGCTTACACCTATTGAAGGACCTTTTTTATTTTTTTTATTTTTTATAACTTTTATAAAAATGATCTTTATGTAGATACTCATCATCCAATAAAACAATATTATTCAAAACGTATAGCTACATGTTTACATGCTTTGCCATTTCAACCTAGAGTTTAAGAATGAATAAGAAAAATAAACAGCTCATAATAAAGGTATTTTTTCCTTTATAGAAAGGTTAGATGGTCAATTATCATTTATTTAGAGGATCAACGTCTGACTCTTTTGGTTCTATTTTTTATTGTGTTGAATTGTTCCAAATTATTGACTTTAATTAATTTTTGGTCAGTAGACTAGCACAGGACCTACAATGTTCCTATTAAATTTATTGGTTTTGTTCTCTTCTGAAATATGCATGAGATGTTTGACACTGGACATAAAGCAAACCACAACTAATCGATCATTTCTTTTTTACAAAACTGTATACACTCTTTGCTATATGTATCGAAGTTCATTAAACGAATTTGTAAAAATTAGCACTTATCAGTATTTTTGCAATGGACTGGTTGTTTCCATGGCAACACATTCAATGGCAAATATTGCATAATTGAATATATAATTTTTTAAATTATTTTATTTGTTTTTTTCTAGATTTAGTCATTGTTTTTCTTGTACATTTTTCATGATCATGAAAACAGACTGAAATTTCTTCATAATCAGCACTTTTATCCAGATTAGAGAAATTGTATTTGTTTCATTCAAGTGGTAACACCATTATCGATATACTATACCAGCAAAATTATTTATATATACACATGTGTGTATACAGTGAAACTTAATAAGTGTTTTCGTTTTCCTACTTTTGTGCACATTTAAGAAACTAACTGAAACTTTTTCAAAATTGTTACAAACTTGTGTATCATCATGAAATTGTTTCCATAGCAACACAGTTAAAACTATAATACCGTTATGTATGAATATGTTTCAAATTTTGATGATTACAATCATTTCTACAAATTGTATATTTATTTTTTTTTTCTGACTGCAGAATTTGGTTTTAAAACATTTTTTTTCAAAAATTTTCAAAAATATTTTTTTTCTGAAAAAATGAAAACTAAGCATTTTGTATCCATGGTAACAAAAAAATGAGACATCCTTCCCCATTACTTTTTTGCATCATTGATAAGATAAGACTATGGTATTTATGAATTGATGGTTGACTTTAACTCAGGTGTCCGCAAAAAAATATGGTGAGCATTAAAAAATGACCTCAAAAGGGTATTTTTTACCTAATGCAAACCACATAAAAAGGGGGGTATATGTGATTATGATTGAAAATGAATATGAAAATATCAGTTATTAAATTACATTAATAAAATGCATATATTTAATAAAATCATAAAAAAATATTCTTTCTTTTAATCATTTATTATGAAAAATTATGTTGAAAATAGCCATTTTCAGCTTAAAATCATAGATATCCAGAAGAGGTAAAACTGGTCATCGGTTGCTAAGGCAACCGATATGCTTAGCAACCAAAATTTTGCCATTTTTTGTTTGTTTCATCAAGATTAGTAAGGGTGTGAAGTTTGAAGAAAATCCATGACCATGCGTGCCACACTCCCTATATAAAAGTTTAAATAGTTACAGAGAACTAGTATTAAATACTAGTAACTGTTCATATTTTGTACTACTAGTAACTGTTCATATTTTGTACTCTTATACACGCATGCATATCTCAAATTCAACAGAGGAAATAAGTAGCATGCCAATTGTTTTTACGGGTTATAATAATCACTTTCATGTCACTATAACTGCAATACAAGGGAGATAACCCAAACATTCATTTGTTTCTAATTTGTTAGACACTTAATATTTAGCAGAAGGTAAGAAATGAGATGTCATGTTTGAAACTGCTAGAAAAAATATAATGCATTGAACTGTTATTATATATTCGTAACATATACTGTCTCCTCTTTGCAGTATTTACAATACACATTTCGTGTATATAGATTTTTTAAAGTCTTACTGGAAGGTTCTTAAAACACCAGGGTCAACACAGTGTTTTATTGTATCTAGATTGAAAAGTTAAAAAAAAACTTTTTTTTTTTTACAAATTTCACTGCATGTAATATTTGTTTTGAGTGTTTAATAATAAAAATAAATGAAATACATCATATCTCTTTTCCTTTCCACGACAACCCTATCTTTAAAATCAACGAAAACTATTAAAAATAAATCTTTCTGTATTGTTTGATACAGAATATCCAGAAGGCTTCCTATTTGTTTTTCTTCTTTACCTCGCATAATGTTAAAGTACGTAATTAGAAATGTGTAAGTTTTCAAAGGAATAATGGCAAAAATATAGAATGGAGAAAAATGGGCCATTTTTTTTTAAACAATAGAGAATGGGGTAATGAAATTTAGAAATTAGAGAAAAATGTCCTTAAACATTAAGAATACGAAATGAAGATCCTCCATATTAAACCCTCATGTATATGCATTGACATTATAATCATTGATTACAATTTAGATATGTAAGCTAGTTGCAATTATTTATATATCTTTATTGACAGCAGATTGTGAAATATATTTTTGTAATGCTGCTCAAAAAGAATTACAGGGTTTCAATGTACTACCTTAAGTCACAGCTACTAAACAAATGACTTATATATGAACTTTTTGAAGTGGCATATACCTTGTTCTATTTTATGACAATTCTCTTAAAAGTAACGACATTATAATCCAATCTCATATATAAAAGGAAATGAGACAAAAAAAAAATAAAACTTATCCAGAAAACTGTTCTATAAGGTAAATAATGTTCCTTTGAAAAAAAGAGTTTTTAATTAAATATGACAAAAATTATGCCCAAGAGCAAATGCAGATACCATGTTAAGTTAAAATTGTATCTATTTTTCTCAAAAAAAATTAAATAAAAAGGATATCAAACAGAGACGAAATAATGTTTACATTTGTTTTCAGCCAAGGAAGTATAATTGCATCTTTCAAACTGAATTACACTGGAAGTGGAGCTATCAATATGACAACGCTGAACGACCACGTGACAAGTAAAGTAGACAGTGGAAGTTTCGGAACCTTGATTGTAGACAAGGCAGCAGTAAGACATTCCAGTAAGTAATTATCATGAAACCTATTTGATATTTATAAACTATCGTTCAGTTTACTGGACTTAAAACGACTATTTTCTTTATGTTAAGTTATTATTAAAATTTTGTTAGTCAGTTTATGAACTATTGTGATTGACAGAGAATATTTTACTCTGATTATGCGGTTTTTTTTCTGACTTAATTCTACTGAGTCATGATTGTATCACTATAAGTATCAAGTATCTGTTTATTAATTATATTGATGTGAATATGCATCAATGAGACAACATCTCAACGACACAAAAAAACCAAGAGACATCTAGAGAACAGCACACAATAAATAGATGTCTACATTGGCTAGAGGTATAGGAGGAGGGTTGAGATCTCACAAAATATGTTTAACCCCGCCGCATTTTTGCGCCTGTCCCAAGTCAGGACCCTCTGGCCTTTGTTAGTCTTGTATGTTTTTTTAATTTTAGTTCATTTATATGTTTCGAAGTTTAGTGTGACGTCCATTTTCACTGAACTAGTACACATTTTTGTTTAGGGGCCAGCTGAAGCCCGCTTCCGGGTGCGGGATTTTCTCGCTATGTTGAAGACCCATTGGTGGCCGTCGGCTGTTTTCTGCTCTTTGGTCGGGTTGTTGTCTCTTTGACACATTCACCATTTCCATTCTCCATTTTATTTGAGTCTATTCACTATTATATGAAATGAATAAAAATTAAACAGAAACTATCAAAGATCTTACTTCAATACAGAATTCTTCCTAATTGAATAATAAATATCAAGATATAACTAGACGCAGTTCCTGGCTTAGAGACAGGCAAATGAATATATGGCAGGGTTAAACTAGCTTCTTTGTATCATTTCAATAATTACATTACATCAATTGTATAACCATTTCGACTATATTTTTCAGTTGGTATTCAACCAACAACACCGACGCCACCAACAACACCGGCACCGTCGACAACACAATCGATCCAAGCTTCAACAGAAAAGTCATCAGAAAAGTCAGAACTTCCACTTCCGCCATGGGGTATTGCTGTTATTGTCTGTGGAGCACTTGTTTTAATTTTCCTTCTTACAATGATTGCAATTCTGGTAAGTAGAAACTAATTGATAAAATTTTCTAAAATCTGATAACACTCCGAAAATTTTATTTGCTATGCCTACAAAATTCTAGGGAGAGCAATTTGGATTATACCTTATGTACATCATATACTTAAGTTCCAAAACAGTCCATTGTTTGTTAGATTTTAGTTTACAGATTAGAGTCACATGATAACGTCAGAAATCTATGTAATGTAGAAATCAATACAACGTCGACTGCATGGAAAAATTAACCTATTGGTGAGGTTACATTTTGGTAGGTTATCATCAGGTTTAGGGGTCAAAACAAAAAGTATGGTCGAATATTTTTTGTGGAAATCTTTAAAAATAGTTCCTTTTGTATAAATCGCCTGTGCGAAATGACTAGGCGAATTCATACAAAAATTTCACTTTTTACGACTTTTTTAACCTTTACATTGAAACAAAAATTATCCCGTAAGGGGGGGGGGCGACCATTTGATATTCCGGGGATTTTTTTTTTCGGATAAATTTCATCTGTTGCTACGCAGGCTTACTTTTTCCGTTGTCTTTTTTTGCATGCACTTTTGTACACAATTGCTTCCTGCATTTTGTGTACCAAAATATTAATTTTCATCGTCTCTATTGCAAGGTTATTTATTTTCATCTCTTAACAGGCCAGGATATTCATTTCCAACCTCCCCCCCCCCCCGAAAATCGAATGGTCGTTTCCTAACACTCCTATCCTAATCTTTCAATTTTAATATCTGTGATACAGATATCTTTTGAAAAGGCTGTGACTTTTCAACTGCCTATAACCTTTTAACGGTTACAGTAGATGCTGTCGTTAAAAACATTATTTTATATTACAGTGCACACGGAGACAGACGAGGATGATGAAATATCGTATGTCAGATGATATGGATCCAGATGATATCGGATATCGTCGTAGCTGGGGCAATGGAGAAACGAACCATGCCTATGATAATAAACAAGAGACGATGGCAGTTAATGAAGAAATGAAACATCCGGTGCCATTTTTTGATATAGAAAATAGTGAAACAAAAGAATTAGACCCAGTAAGTACTAATTTGCATATTTAATAGAAGTAATGAATTATTGGTAAAATTTCTACTTCCGTGTAGTAAAACCGGTTGATAAAAAAGGTATATAAAAATTTGGAAGACTTCTGATTTTATAAATTTGGTATAATTCTTCTTTGTTTAATTGAGTAACTGTATTCCTCTGAATATGTCCGATAGCCAACACAGGAGATGTCATCTATTATTTAAAATTGTATTCCACGTAAATAAATGCCCAATTACACAACGCTCTTAAAACACTATGTAGACTTGGAAAGAGTTTTTTTCCTTACAAGTTTTGTACCATTTTTTCCCCCTATTTTATATTGGAAGGCACATTCAGGATACCACAATATTATATAAATACTTTGCATGGAAGTAGAATGCTTACACATACCCAATAATTTGAGTGTTAATGCTTTGTTTGATTCTTTGCTTAAATTCGACAATATTATTACGCATAATATAGAGTGCTACATCTTGATTGTGAGGTTACAGTCAAATAGCATTTATTCACAGATTGGAATTTCACCTCTAAATCAGAGAGCTGTGATCACAGAAACAATTGTTTTGCCACTCGTGTTGCTTGTTTACAAATCTGCCAATTTCTTCTTGAATTATTTTTATCAATGTTTACAATGGTGGTTTTGGTTTAGATTTGGATTTATAATTTTACATATTAAATTTTCTAATCTCTGCTAGTGGTGACGGTAGAAACATATATATTATTTGTTATTAATGCCATTTAATTTTTTTTAACTTTGAATGTTACAAACTATAATGTCCTCCCGTTGTCATGTCATAATTTGTATTTTATCATCAGCAAAAAACGACAGCATTATGATATACAGTTCCGTAGTCTAGATCATCAGCATGTTTGTAAGTATGGGACGGTCTCCTGTTTGAACAAGCGTTCAATTGATTAACACCACTTTTTATTTTGGCACTTTACTAACATGGAACTAACATTTTATTATTAATTACAAGACAAATGGTCTTCCTGTTTTTTTGTTTTTGTTTTTTATACTTTTCCAATTAATACTCCATGTCTTTTCTTATTGCCAAATGGCTTGAAAGAAAGATATCAGTTATAAATAAACAATAACGCTTTTGACAGCTATCTTATAATTGCATCTTAAAACATACACATTGTCATGTATTCGGCTGAGAAATTCAAGAACTTATATTCGGCGAAGAAATTCAAGTTTCACAATTTTCACAATTTTAGCATTTTTCTTTTAGGGGACATGCATGTAAAATATATCCAAATAACAGGACAAATATAGATGCGACTCTTTTTGTTTTAGTGTGACATGCATTTGAAAAACTGCATTTGAAAAACTTGAATATTTGATAAGAAAGAATTTCTTCGGACTTTAATTTTGGAATGTATAGGAATAGATGGATTTTATTAAACTGCATGAAAAGTGAAGTATAAATTAAAAATGTTTGAAAATACTTTGTTTCATGGTTTTAAAACAAGAATACCATTTGCCTTGTTTAAAATGTGAGGTTTAATAAGAAACAAATTGCCTTAGACCAGACACAATGTTAGTTTGAAAAATTCCTCCACACAGAAGAATTATAAACACTGGACACTTTTAATTTGCAAAACACTCATTTGCAAATCCGCCGCCGCCTCTCCTTACAGCTACAGTGTCGTGTATATAACCAAAATGTGCGGAATTACATGGGATTCAATAAATTCATTGGTTTTCTGCTGTTATTATTATATATATTTTGTAATTTGATTTAGAAAAACATGGGATTTTCAATATCCCATGGGATAAGACAAATCCCATGGGATTGACCATTATCCCATGGGATTTTGGTTAAATCCCATAGGATTTTTTGGGGTCCCATGGGATAATTGTAGTCCCATGGGATATTTGTTGTCCCATGGGACAAAAAAAATCCCATGGGACTATAATTATCCCATGGGATTTTTAATATCCCATGGGATGAAATAAAATCCTATGAGATTCAAATTATAAATATACAGTAATGTGTATGTTACAATGAATTCTGTTTGGTAGTAAATTGTTTTAAGATGAATCTTTTTAGTTGTATATCTTTTTTTCCTTGGAAATGTTAATGCAATTATATTGTTCTATAACTGTTCAAAACTAAACTTTTAAACAACAAAGTAGATAATGTAAGTATCAATATATGTTTATTTATGAATTGCAGAATACTTTTTTGAAACACAATTTTTTCCCATTTGAAATCAACGAAAACTCTTTTATTAGGCTTAACATACTAGTAGCTTTTTACATAAATCTATTTTTTTCAGGATATCCCTCCACCCAAAAAATTAATAGTTTCTTATCATCCAGCATTGTGTAATCGTAATGTATAGTCCACTTTTTGGCCATTCAGCACAGAACATTGTCATTATTGTGGTTTTAATATCTTTTGACTTTAGATATTTAATAGAACTTCAATTCATTGACTGAGTGATGAAAATAATAACTGATCTGACTTTTGTCTTTGAATTTATTCTGGTCTTGTTTCTGTGTTTTCTCCTTTTATTCTAAGTGATGAATTTCAATCCTTCTGAAAAAGAACAAATAAAATCCGAAGTTATGGATAATAAAAAATTGTACATGTAGCAATAACATATGATTTTCAATAAAAATAGCTAGGCTCCTGACTGTTGAAGGTTGTCCAGTGTCATCAGTTGCTAACCTCCTACATCCTTTGTTCTCTGATGGAGAGTTGTCAAATTAGCAATATACCACATCTTCCTATTTTAATATTATATAACAATCAATTTATGTATTCTTCTTTATAACATTTGGGTATTTTCCCCAGTTATATATATATATATATAGATCAATGTTAAAACTTTAGGCAATTACAATAACATTCCATTTTTCACAAGAATTTGCAATATATTATACAAAACGCCAACAAACAAAACATATTTAAGCTTCTGAAGTTCTGAAAGAGTTCCACTTGTGTTTTATTTCAATGAGAAAATACCTTGAATTCTTTGGACATGTTGGAAATTATAACATTGATACAAAAAATTATATTGTTTGTTTTTCTTATTTTTGTGTTGTTCGGTTGCTGTCTCATTTTTATATATGGTTATACATATATCCTAAATTTTCTTTTTTTAATACTTAATTATTAATAGTAAAAATGGGATATTTTTTATTTTGATAATCTCAAAACATTATTATTCTATCAAATAACTTATTTTCAAGTTCACAAAACACCAATGTGTCAGATATTTATTTTAAAACATGTACATGATGTATAAACATGATAAACAAGCAGTTGACAGGATGTCATGCAAAAATCTCACTAATATTAAACTTTCACAAAAACTCCATACTCAGCGAGTACTATCAAAAGTTCTTAGTACAGGACAAATTCCTAGTACAGGACACCATGCCTGGCAAACACTAGCATGTGTCAATGTCTAGTCAATCATTTAATCAGGCTCAAAATCTTAGTTTGGCACTGAATTTAAAAGTTCACCACATAATGAACATGTGTATGAAATTCAACTTCATGGTAAGCTATGTACCTTAACCTAAAACGTTATCCTAAGAATGTACTATAATTTCACATTATGACATTTCTATGTTCAGTGATCCCTAAAATCAGGGTAAAAACAGTAAATGCGGTGTATAATGTATAAACAAGAGTGCACACGCTGAAATGTTGCACCTTCTTTACTAATCATTGATATCATGTTGATAGTCCTAAATATAAAGCTTTACTACAACTATCACATAAACTCAACATGATCCAAGAAAATGAATTCAAGGTCATATAAACCCGACAAGAAATACATGTACATCTTACAACCATTCAACATACTAAATACAGTTGACCTATTGCTTATAGTTTCTAAGAAGCAGACTTAACCAAGATTACTAAACACTGACCAATGAACCATGGAAATGAGGTGAAGGTCAGAAGAACCATGCCAGGCAGACATGTACAGCTTACAATCCTTCCATACAACACATATAGTTGACCTATTGCTTATAGATTAAGAAAAACAGACCAAAACACAAAAACTTAACACTGAGCAATGAACCGTGAAAATGAGGTCAAGGTCAAATAAAACCTGCAAGACTGACATGTAAATCATAAAATGTTTCCATACACCAAATATAGTTGACCTATTGCATTAAGTATTAGAAAAAAAGACCAAAACTCAAAAATTTAACTTTGACTACTGAACCATGAAAATGAGGTCAAGGTCAGATGACACCTGCCAGCTAGACATGTACACCTTACAATCATTCCATACATCAAATATAGTAGACCTATTGCATACAGTATAAGAAAAACAGACCAAAACACAAAAACTTTACTATAACCACTGAACCATGAAAATGAGGTCAAGGTCAGATGACACCTGCCAGTTGGTCATGTACCTCTTACAGTCTTTCCATACACTGAATATAATAGACCTATTGCTTATAGTATCTGAGATATGGACTTGACCACCAAAACTTAACCTTAAATATAAAAAAGAAGATGTGGTATGATTGCCAATGAGACAACTCTCCACAAGAGACCAAATGAAACAGAAATTAACAACTATAGGTCACCGTAAGGCCTTCAACAATGAACAAAGCCCATACCGCACAGTCAGCTATAAATGGTCCCGAAATGACAATGTAAAACAATTCAAATGAGAAAACTAACGGCCTAATTTATGTACAAATAAACTGCTTCGCTGAGCGCAGCTGGATACGCCCGCAGAGGTCCAACCCTGAACAGTTGGGGCAAAAATGGACACAATATTCAAGCTTGATACAGGTCTGAATTTGGAATGTAATTAAATATTTGACATATTATAGGTTTCTGAATATTAAAATGTAGTCAAAGAACTTGAAATTGGTTATATGAAATGAATTTATATTCAATTAAAGATTTCTTGCTATTGTGCAATACACTGTACTGTTGCGCAATACTTAGTAAATTTGTTGTCAGACTATAAACAAATAAAATCTTATAACTTGGAAACG